CTTCCTTCCTTCCTTCCTTCCTTCCTTCCTTCCTTCCTTCCTATTCCTTCCTTCCTTCCTTCCTATTCCTTCCTTCCTTCCTTCCTATTCCTTCCTTCCTTCCCTCCCTCCCTTTTCCTCTTCCTTCCTCCCCATGCATCTCTTTGAGAGCTTTAGTAGACTCAGGAAAAGTTTATATTCTGCTTTCTGTGATGTCTGTTTTTGATTTCACACTTTAGCACTTATTTGTACTTCTCCTTTTGCTTAATTATCTTTATGCTGACAAAAGACAACTGCACAACTGTGCCAGTCACAGAAAGAAGAATTATGTTTCTCTGTCAGAAGGAGACAAATGAGAAGGAGTGTTATCTCTGTCCTACTTTTTTAATATCTATTATGCGAGGTAGCTGGCAAATAATAGAGTTTTTGTATATTCTTCCTAGAACTTTATCACTGTGACTACTTGATTAAGATGTTTGTGGTACATTTAGGTTTTATTGCTTAAGGTAGTAGCTGGCACATTTTATGCAAGTAAGAGCTCTTGAATCTCTGCTGATAATGCCATTTATGGCTCTGCTGTTGAGCAACCATAGGCTATGTCTAATAAGTTAATTTCCCTCCTTGTACGAAGTCTGTATATTTTTCCTTATCTTGGAGTGTTGGGGAAAAGAAACTGTGCATCATCTGCCCTAGGATTCATACAGTATTCTGCTTTTAGGGCAAACACAACTTAAAAAATAATTCAGACAACATTGAAATTCTTTTCTATTAGTTCTAGTATCAGAAACTAACCAATACAGTGCTACAAAGACAGAGCAGAAATAAATGGTTCTGCTTTCTATTTGGTTAAAATGTGGTTCTTTCCCCTCTTTGTACCCCTCTGTATCCAAGACTGTAGAGAAGTAAATTGGATGTTTACAGAGAGCAGAGGGATACGCAAGACAGGTAGAAAGAATGGCAAAGCATTTGTCTCTGTTCTCACGGAGACAGGGTTTAGCTGTTTCCAACAAAAGAATTTGCTTATCTAAATCATGGCTTTTGTTAAGACAATTTTTCTTGTTGCTGTGAACTCTGTAGGAATTACCTGAACTTTGTTTCCCAAAGAATAAAAATAAGCAGCTAAACCTCTGGGCACTAAACTGTGATCTTTCCAGGCACTTTATTTAAGACTGTCATATTTTTATATCTCAAATTTCAACTTAATATACAAGAGATTGTCCTGCCTGAGATACTATGATTTTGTTCCTGTATTCCAAGGCAAAATTAACCATTTCATTTTAGTGTCAACATTTCTTAGGTTCTAGTGAAAATCAAAACCACTAAAATCATCTCTGTTCTCTGGTGTTAGTGCTGTCTGCCAACTCTGATTTATCTATTTATTGTTGCACTCTGAGTGTTAGTCTAACCATCAACATCTAAGGAAATGTTGGGTTCTGTCAGCTGCTTTCTAAGACTGCTCCTAGATAATGCTCTCTGGGAGGCAGGTTCAGCCTTCCTCTGCGTGGCTGTCAGCCGTGGTTTGCAAGCAGAAATTCTAGCAGTACAGTGATTAGTCACATCCTAGTTTTGAGCAGCAACAGATCTTTCCCTCAACCTCTCTTTTCATTAACTACACATTGTTATGACTTTGGATCACCTGCTGTTGGACATTTTTAGTAGAGATGCTGTGTATTTCTACCACCTCATTGTATCGTCCTGCCTCTCTTTGATCCATTTTTGTTAGATTCTAGTAATTAAAAAAAACCAAAAAAACAAAAGAGAGTACCTTCTCTGAAAAAGAGCCAAACAAGTCTCACAAGAACATAGAGGGAAGTTATTTTTCGTCCATGTTTTGTGTTCCCCCAGTAGTATGACACCTTAAGAGTTCTCTAAAAACCTCAACAAACAGTTGAAGCAATTGAAAGTTGGGGTATTTGCTGTCAGGTTTATTGTCTTGCTCTTGTCTGGAATAAATGATGTATGTTTCTGACCTAACTCCAGATGACAGTCAAGCACAAATGTTAAGCAATGGATACTAAGTACAGCTACAAAATTCTGTCAGATTAAATTCTATTGATTGGTTTGGCAGAAGATCTATAATTTTTCACTAGGAATTTAATGATTAGTTGTGTATTTTGGATTTCAGGGAATGTAACTGAAGGAATACTGTGGTTGCCACATAAGGAAAAATTTCTAATTATCATGTGCAATTACCATGTGTCTTTTGGATTATGAATGTGAGAGGGGAAAAAAACCTTCAGCATTTTCTGGTGAGGAATTCTTTGTATGCATCTGAATTCTATACAGTCCTGATCTTTCTTTCTAGAAAAGAACTCTGTTTTGTTGTTTATTCATTTGCAGAAAGGTAATCTCCCAAAATATTTCAGTAATTATAGCCATCAAAGAAGGCCAGTTGTCCCCCTTTGTAGCCTCTAATAACTAGAGGAAAACAGGAGTAAAATCCATTTTATAGTTATGCTTTAAATGTGAAACGGATCATGCATCAGAACTCCTCAAAACGTAACTTGTCTGATACTTAGGAAACATACAAGGTGCAAAATGTCTGGATTATTTGGTATGGTGTTAGGAAACTTGTTCTTAAGTCCCAAAGAAGGTCCTTGGCAGGAATATTTCCCCTTGACTCAGTGCTGGTGAGGCTGCCCCTGGAGTTCTGCAGTTTTGGGTTCCTCAGTACCAGAGACACGAGGAACTACTAAAGAGTGCATTGAAGGGCCACAAAGATGATAAAGAATCTTGTCCATCTCTCCTGAGGAAAGGCAGAGCTGGGACCATTCAGCCCGGAGAGGAGAAGGCTCAGAGTGCATCTTATTAACATATATAAATAGCTGAAGTGAAAGTGTAAAGAAGATGGATCCAAGCTCTTTTCTTGGTGGTGCTCAGTGACAAGTCAAGTGGCTTTCCAACCAAAAATAAAACCTGTAGGCCCATGCTGAACAGTAGGAGTTTCCAGAATTGGTGGTGCAGTTTGAAAGCTTTGGTGTTTTGTCTACAAACATTATTTATTACTTTCTTCCCACATGCAAATTCAAATAAAAATAATTTAATGTAAATCTAGTTAAGGAAAAAATTTTTCAAGTTATGTTTTCTTGAAGAAAATTAGACATTAACTATAGGGCATGGGATTTTGGTATGCAATAGAATGTCTGCTGTGAAACAAAATACCTTTAATAGTATTTTCTGTAACAAAGAGTGGGCTTTGGGGCGTGTGCTGGTAGGTTCCTGCTCAAAC